AAGTGTACTTGTCTCACTAGGATTTTTTCTGTAATTATAGTTACACGTAATAATTTATAGCTTTACAACCACTTTCCAGGAGCATATAAGGCCACCCTTATTTACTCTTTCTGTAATTTCAATTATTTACTCTGTGGTCAGGCTTTTCAAAATCTGCATCTGGACGCAGTTTGTGGGCCTCACACTCAGAAGGGCCTCACTTCCTTGCTGTTTGTCCAATTGAAATGTTTAATAAATTTAGCAAAGGGTTCCACATTTTCATTTTGCATGGAGCTCCAAAAATTTCATAATTGGTCCTGTCTAAGGACTAAATGCTTCAAGGTGAATTTCCATCAAGTCCTGTCTCTGCACCTGGGATTGGAACCATTACTGAATAATTTGAGTAGTTTTTGGTTACAGTAATCAATTTCACATTCATTCCCTTGGCAGAAGACTGCCACAAATCGAAAATTCAAGCAGTCCAAACACACTTTGCCTTCTGATTACAAACAACTGGTTCAACCATGGTTACACTTTGGCCTTGGCCACCTGACAAGTGTACAGACAGGCTCCTGCCCCTTCAAGCCTCCTTCAAATTTATAAACAGTACCATTCCCAAACACCGGTTCCTAAAGTTTCCTGTTCTGCAAACTTGATGTTATTCAGCATTTGACAATTTCTTTAGCATTGTTTGATTAAGGGTGGAATTGCATCAGATGTAATAAAAGTCAAGTCCTGTAATTTCAATTATTAAACACTTGTACCAGAGCCCATAGACAATTGGCTAAGTGGCTCTACCTGAACTGCAGAAGTAGCAGCTAGGGGGCCCAGAAAGGAGGGAGACTGAAATTATGTTCTCAGCCACGACAGATTTGAAAGGGCCCTCCTCCAAGTGAGTAACTAAAGGGCTCTGTAAACTGTGCACTTACCTGGGAACATCTCATCACACACTTATTTTCTACCTGTTCACAGTAGGTCCTGACACAGAACTGTTATACGGTTGGAAAGAATCATTGGCCACTCGCTCTCTGGAAGCCAGAGATCAAGTATCCCTCTCCACATACTCATTAGCTGGCATAAACATATTCTCTCCTCCAGACCTAACGACCATTCAGATACTCCATTGTATGCATGAGCACAGGAGCACAGAGAGGGAAGAAAGTTGGGGAGTAGTAAAGTATGCCTCATCCTTATTCATGACTATGAAGAACACACACCTTTTTATTTCCTTCCTGGTCTTTCTGAAGTCATCTTTAGAGACTGAGTTTCAAATGTGATCTTTATTTCATTGCTTAGAACCAGAGAATATTAATTTATGGCCTCACTCAAATTCACATTAATTTCAAACTGACAGCATAATCCAGCCACACTGTAGTGTGTACAACAGAAATCCCAGCCAAAACAGGGCAGGACTGGACAGGATGCATGGAAACAGAAGCCATGGTCTCATTCAGCATCCACATTATCACAAATTCTTGAAAGTAGCTACTCCTATGTCTGGGTGAAATCCCCCTCACAGTCCTTTGAACTGCACATGTATAGCACTCAAATCTATAAATATATGCCACATGGTTTCTGCAATAATAAACAACTTTCTAGCCCTCCCTTAGGCACTAGGACAATCTTCATTTTGCAGGTATATGAATCCTAACTTGAACTTGCTTTTGGGAAAACAAAGAGCATAAATCAAATTTCTCATTTGGAAACATCTCTCCACATTCAGAAATTCTGAATTTTTATTTCTAATTCATCTATGTAAGCTCATTCTGGAAATCTTAAAAATGTTTTTATTGCCGACTCCCCACATCTAGACAGAACCTAAGGCCTACTTCCTTCAGTAATCTTTGATAAATTGCCTAACACTCTCTCCAAAGAAGTGACACATCCTTCCTCTTTCTCTTCTGAGGACTTTCAAAATTTGATAGTTACATATTCCATTTACTTACATCATAAATATTTATCAAGCACTCACACTGTGATAGACACTGAAGGAAAATAGAATTTGCCCCGGTCCTTGCCTGCCAGGTGTCCAGGGTCAGACTGAAGGAAGTCTTTGAGGACCTCTGAGCCCTGAAACTCAAGCTCCAGCCTGTGCTGCTGCCTTGTGCCAAACACACATTGTTGACTAAATGCAATGGGTACTTCATTTTATAAATAGGACTCTCTCATTGATAAAGGCATTTCAAAGTCAAAGGGGTAAATCAGGCATGCTATCCTCTGAACTGTGGCCGGGTAGAGGTCAATGGGGATAAAAGGAGACATATGTAATACTTTAAAAAAATAAATAATTTAAATTAAATTAATTAATTAAAAATCAGTCTGATAACCTACTCTGAAAAATATTTCCTCTGGCTGATGGAAATATTTCCTACTGCTGATGGGAAATGTGAACCTCTTTCACATTTTGCTGCCTCAGAATGGCCACAGGCTCTGTTGTAATTTGTTGAGGCACAGGTCTGCTTGCACCAAGGGCTTGACAGAGCTTATTAATGCAAAAAATCACTGTTCTTCTTCAGCCTGTGGGAGCTGAATGTCACTGAAAGAACTATCTGGGTTGTTAGAGGGAATTGCACCTCTCACTTTCCTAGAATGCAGCTAAGTACAAATCTCCAGGAGCAGCAATTCATCTTTTCAAATTACAGAGCCCAAGGAGTGAGAGTGAAGAGAATGCAGCTATTACAAAACAAGAGAACCACAACTGAAAACCTGATTTGAACATAGCAAGGGAGAATTATTGGTGTTTAGCTTAAAATTTCATCTTAGTAGAGGCCGCAAATACTCAGCAGGCTGCAAGGGCTCTATGCAGCATCTACTATATTGTTAAATCAAGGTCCCAGAACATTGAAATTCCACTATAATGCAATCAAAGTGCTTCAATATACTGAGAAAAGAACAAATTCAACTGCTTAAAAAGGCTACACTGAAAAACTAAGCATGAATTTTACTGTGATTAACTGATAAGAGCTGAATGGTTATTTTATTCTGAGTAGTTGTTTCTTAATTATGCTGTCTTAATTTTCTCATAAATCTGTTCCATCTATACTCACCAACATTAATATTTATTTTGTTCATTTAATTTTAAAGTATTCTTAAATTAAAGCTATTACAAATATTCTGCTGCTGAAGATAATTCAGCATAGGCTCTACCATGAAGCTATCATTGAAAACATGAACAATGTTATAGCTGTAATAGGGCTTATGAAACACAATATTATAAACTATTTTAGTAAATTAAAAATCACCCATTCTAGAATTCATTTAAAATACACTGCTAAATATATCTTGTTTAAACCTCCATGCTTATTTCCCTTGGAATTCTTAACAGTATAGGTTTCACATAATGAAAATTACACTTACGAATTATCTTATGTCAAAATATTTCCCATGTACATATTTTTTAACATTCTTTCTTTAAAATAAAATCCTCAGCATTTAACCTATACAAATTGTCCTGCAGAGACCTCGCAATACATGTAACAGTCATTATATTGAACTTGTATCCCATTTAATGTAATATGTAATTACATTGACTCTTGTTTCTTTTTAGGTTTCATAGCATTGTAATATGCCATTCTGCAAAATGCTCCCACACGATAGGCTCAGTGCAGCAGCAATGCCACTGAGAAAAATTGCAATGGTTTCCCCCTTGGAAAACACCAAATCTCAAAATTTAACATACTAGCTCATAGTTCATTTTCATATCTAAAAGAAACTTTCAGCTGAAACCTTTTCTGTCAGCACATGTTATAGTTTCTCTGCACTTTTACTTTTAGGACTATGATAAAGAAAAGCAGCATACACTAGGGGCATCCAAAATAAACTACTATAAATTCACATTCTCTTTTGTACTAATTTGGATCAAAAGCAAGGAAAAGTCTGTGAATGCCCTTACACTTCTCAGGTGAAACTTTCTTTTCATATCCCTCCCTATGTCAGAAGCAGAAAGACATGTATACACATATATTTCTCTTACTTTTCTAACCCAAGAAGTTGCTACCATTGTCACAATATGATCACACTATCACTTGAGGTTTGTGTTCTAATAATCAGAAATACTTTTTAATTACATGCTTTTCTTTTTTTTCTTAATATTTTTTCTGGACTAAACTCAGGACTGAAACATTTTTCTCTGCTTCAGGATTCTCCAGTCTAAACTCATTAATTAACACCGAATGCTTTTTCCTTCCTATGCTCCTGGCTTGGTTTTGAATTTGAAGATTTGTCCCCATTCCTTGGCACCTAACAGACTATGAATTACATGTAAGAAAACAACTCCCAGGGAGTAAGAATCTGCTCCCATCCATCAACTCCCTGGGAGTTGTTCTCTAGGAAACAGACTGGAAATTCGGGAGTGGGAAGCAAATTCCATCTGAAGCTACACAGATAATACAGGTAAATCCAAAGTAATGGAAGCAATACTAATAAAAATTAGTATTATTTATTATCTTCTTTATTAATACTCACATATAACATTTGCTTTTACAGAAAAGTCTACTTTAAATGAATACCTCCTTGGTTTATTATTCCCAATGGGGTTTACTATTCCTGGGCCACTTTGCCTTTTTTTATCCCCTCACCCCACATCCAAATTAGGCTCACTACTACATGTTCACAGATACCACAAAAATTTTGTAAACAAGATTTTGGTTACTGGATCTTGATTTCATCAGTATCCCACTTCAAAATGCAGGGCAGGTAGAGAGAGGATAAGACCTGGGGAAAAGGGAGAAAAGGCAACAAGAGGACAGGAAGGCAGCTGGTCAGAACTTTCAAGTCTCACCTTTTTTGAGATGTGTGTGCATTGAGACTGTTCTTGAAAAGAAAGACTCGGAACATTGACAACAAGTGTCTGTGTGGTTATTTATGTTATACATCTATAATAGAATGTATGGGCTTCCTCCGCTTAAGTCTGGACTGTTTCTGTTTAAACACACCAGAGTCCCGTGTGGGTAGGTTGTCTCCCACCTCAACAGTCTTCCTGTGTGTGTCTCCCACCTCCAGTCAGGCCTCCTGGGAAACCCTCAAAGTCGGGGCTTTCGGAGCAGGGTTTTGCTGAGGTCTTTGACTTCCTCAGGGCTATTCACCCTCTGATAGCCCAGCACAGACATAGGCTGATAGCAAAATTCCTCCACTTGTTTAATCTGCTGAAAGGTGAGGGCAGTCCGCCATGCGTTAGCTGCCTGTGTGGCGTTGCGGGCAGACACCACAAAAGGCTTGGAGGAGGAGCCCGAACCGCTGGTCATGTTCAAGGCAAACTGCTCCATTTCAGGGCTCACCAGTAGTCCCACAAAGTCGTACACCCTCCGTAGGGTCTTGACGGGATCTCCAACCAGGTCCTCGTACCGCACCACTAGATAGTGGCCTTGTAGCCAGTCAGGGGGCTGCAGGGCTGTCTGCAGTGTCTTGGCTATGCTGTTGCAGATGACCTCCATAGCGCCAAGAGCATGGTAGTCTGCTGGGCCACCCACACCCTCCTTCTTGGCACCCAGCTTGTGGCCAGCAGCCTCCAGGAATGGCATGCGATGGGCTCTCGGGTCCCGGCTGCGTACCACCTGGAGGTTCTCACGGATGAGACCGTGGCGCGAGCGGATGCGTGAGCTGGCCACAGCACGAGGATCACGCACCAAGTGGATGACCTTGAGGTCCAGGGCCGGGTCGCGAAGTAGCGGCGCCAACACGGCCACATCGAAGACACGCACACCCTTGATGACGAGCGTGTGGTACTTGCGGCACTCTTCCTCAAAGCGAGCCAAGCGTTGTGGAGGACACTTCTTGCACACACGATCGTCCACCAGCCCCACGACCTCTTTTCGATAGGCAGGGCAGAGCGGCGAAGAGCACACGACTTTATTGGTGGCAGCGCCAAAAATGCCCAGTGTGGTGAGGTTGCGCCCCCCGCTGCCAGCGGGGCTGTACAGCTGGAAGACTGAGAGGTCACAGCGATAGAGAGCGCTCAGCATGTCCCGCGCTGCCCCTTGCAGAGACACGGCGTCCCCCGGATACAGTTTTTGCCACACGTGCCACACTGGCTCATACAGGAAGAATACCTCGGGATTTTGGTTAAAGAGCTCCCCGAAGAAGGACGAGCCTGAGCGCCATGTGGTAAACACGTAGACCAACTGCCGTTTGATCTCACTGCCCCTGGCACTGCGAGTGCTATTGCGGGAAGAGGCTACTGCCCCAGCCTCGGCTGCAGCGGGGGAGTGGTACGGGATGCGGGGATCCAAGTGGGTGTGTTCACGACGCGACACAGCTTGAGGAGGTCTTGGGTGCCCCCAGCCGTCCCCAGCCACCCCTGCCGCAGCACCTAGCTGTCCATTAGTATTGCACTGCTGTAGCGGCTCCTTGTGCCACTTGTAGTCCAGGAGGTTGAGCATGGTGAGCACAAGCAGCAGCGCATAGCCCGCGCACAGCACTAGCGCCTTCCTACGGAACACCTTCATTCCGATGGGGCGACACTGCCAGCGGCGGCGCGCTGGGACCTGGGCGGGAGCAAGGAGCGTGCTGAGGCAGCAGGCGCGGCCAGGAGCAACCGGGGAGTTGCGCCCGGGGACAGGGCTCCCAGGGGACTGCGGCTCATCACAGGCACACTCGGGGTTTACGGCGTGGCGGAGGCGGCCCTGCAGCCTGGGTGGGGGACGCAGTGGGCCGGCTTCGGGCGCGAGGACTGGGGCCGTGGCTTCTAGGTGGGCGCGGCTGCAGCAGTGGTGGCTGGTCCTCGGCGCCCAGGACTGGCTGTCCCATGGCAGCGGCTCCCAGAAAGACCTGCGAGGGTAAGCTAAGTAAACTGGGGCGCCTCAATCCTTCTCCCAGCCATCGCCTCCGCCTAAGTACTACCCACCCTCCAGTTTGCCTGGCTCCCCAGCTCACCTGGAGCCGCGGGCGCGACCTGGAGCGGCCTGGGATCTCGGCCCGGAGGTCTGTCCTGCTGTTGTTTTCGTTCCTCGATTTCTCCCACGCTGTCTGCGGGTACCTCGGAAGGGGCCACGGGACTCGGAAGCCCAAGCCCTGGGCAGTTTCCGGGAAGCGGGCGCCCTGTGACTGGGGTAGGGAAACTTTCACCAGGCCTGGAGCTCTGCTCCGCGTTCCTCTGAATCCAGTGCGCCAAGCTCCTGCTACGTATTCTCTGCCTTCTCAGGACAGCAGCTTCCTTCCGGGCTCCGATGCCCACTGGGGGATGCTGAGGGGAGGGGGCTTAAACGAGACCCAGCTCAGGGCAAAGAGGCTCCGCCTCTCTCGTTCTTGACCTCCGCACCCCGACTCTACCCATCTCTCTGGCGTCAGTGGATTGGGCGCACCACAACCCTGCAGCAGCAGCGGCGGCTTCTTCCATTACGTAGAGGATGCTCCAGCAAGCGTAGTCGGCCCCCGCCGCTCCTTAGCCTCTGACCGTCCCGGAAGGATCCTGTACACAGAGCTCTCCGCTTAAAAAAAAAAAACGTGGGCCGCAGCTTTCCCTTACCCGCTCCGATCCTGGCACTAGCCGCTTCAGGCCCACAAAGTTGTCCGGGAAGAGGAACCCCTCACCGCTGTCGCCGCCGCCGCGCGAAAGGGAGGATGCTGCTATCAGACGCCCCTACACTGAGAGCCTGCTACACGCCCAGGCCAGCCTCCGCGCGGCACCCGCCCGGCGTGCGGAGTTGGTGCACGCTGCTGTCTGTTGCTGCGGCTCCTCCCCTTCGCTGCGCCCGCCCCCTCTCAACGCCTGCTCCCGCCGCAGGACTCTGAGGTCTGGAGACTTGGGCCACGATTTACTGCGGGGCTACTCTGGTGGCCATTGCGCTGAGGAGGCCGCAACCACGCGTGCGCAGAGCTCTGGGGCGCGGACCGGAGGCTTGCAGCGCTGGGCCGGGCTCTGAGTAATTTGGATTCTGCTTGCAGCTGCCGGGCTCATCTGCACAGTTTTGCTTTCTGGTAAAGAATAAATCTCCCAGCGGCCGCCCACTCTGTTCTTCTTTAGGAGTCAGAACCTAGGTCCTCTGGAAACCCAGGACGCACCCGCGGGCCAAAGTGCTCCTAGGCCTCAAAGCGCCGCCCGAAGGCTTTCTACTTGAGGCTCCCGGGTTCTGCTGGCCTGAGGTTTCTCCCTCATTGAGAAAGTAATAAATCTTTTTGACCCCGGGATCACAGAAACGTCTTCCAGAGACTGAACCGGCGGTGTCTTCTCCAGGTTTTCCTCCACCTATGGATAGGGATTCTTAGGGCTTATTATATTACACTCCACCAGATGTTTTCACCAACTTGGCTTGGAATGCTGAGACCCCTGTGATTGACTTCCTCAAGAACAGGGGTGCAGGGAGATAACTCTTTGTTTTAATTTACAATAAAACACTTGTCTTGCTTCTTGGTCTCAAAGATGAGATCAAATGAATTGGCCCTAAAGGAAACACCGTTTTTTGGAAACACCATTTTCGAAGTAGATCTTTTTTTAGTTACTTTAATATTTTTGTTAAAGATGAGAAAATGCTTGCTCTCTCGCTCTCTCTCTCCCCCAAAGAAGCCATACCGTAATTTCATCTATAAAACAGGGACAATTGCAATATCCTTTAGTAATTGAAGGTGATGGGATGTTCAGTACTCAGTTGATTAGACCCCAGTTGAAGCCTTGGCAGGATCATGAAGAATCCAGAAGCTTGTGGACCAGTAAATGCTGCTGCATATCTGGAGGCATTTTGTTTGCCTCCTGTCCTAAGTAGTTTTTAGAAATTTGAAAAAGTTAATGAAAAATTATTTTTGTGTATTTTGGACAGCCTCTCTCAACCAGATGATAAAATGTTGCTGTTTGCAACATTATTCTTCAGTTAGTCTTAGAATACTAGAGGCCTGGTGAACGAAATTCATGCATGGTGTGTGTGTGAGAGGGGTGTCCCTCAGCCCAACCTGCACTCTCTCCAATCTGGGACCCCTCAAGGGATGTCTGAAGGGATCCCAGTATCGGGCCTAAACGGGCAGTCGGACATCCCTCTCACAATCCAGGACCGCTGGCTCCAAACTGCTCACCTGCCTGCCTTCCTGATTGCCCCTAACAGCTTCTGCCTGCCAGCCTGATCACCCCCTAAGCTCTCCCTTGCCAGCCTGATTGATGCCTAACTGCTCCCCTGCCAGCTTGTTTGCCCCTAAGTGCCCTCCCCTGCAAGCCTGGTCCCACCCAACTGCTCTCCCCTGCTGGCCATCTTTAGCAGCCATCGTGTGTCCACATGGGGGCAAGATCTTTGACCACATGGGGGCAGCCATCTTGATCTTGTGTGTTGGAGTGATGGTCCATTTGCATATTAATCTTTTATTAGATAGGAGGATAGAGTCCTGGTGCATGGGTGGGGGTCAGCTGGTTTGCCCTGAAGGGTGTCCCAGATCAGGGTGGGGTTCCCTTCGTGAGTGGGGGGCCTGTGGTAGTTTTCAGGCTGGCTACGCTCCCTAGTGGCCCAAGTGGAGGCCCTGGTACCTGGGATTTATTTATCTTCTATAATTGAAACTTTGTAGCCTTGAGTGGAGACCTGGGCTAGCCAGGTGGTGTGGAAAGCTTGGCTTCCTCCATTGCCAGGGAAACCCAAGCCTCCTGCTTGCTCCATGGCCATGGCCATCTTGGTTGGGTTAATTTGCATACTCGCTCCTGATTGGCTGGTGGGCATGGCTTGTGGATATAGCAGAGTGATGGCTAATTTTCATATTACTTTTATTAGGATTCTAAGTGCAAGGATTTGAAAAGGTGATTTAACTCATATGGGTGTTCAGGGTAGAAAAATGTTCAAAGAACTTGACTTACCCCATTTTCCAGAAAAATTTACAATGCCACCTACTGGAGGCTAATTCCAGAAGGGTCATAATAAATGCAGAAAGTCCTCAAAAGGTTAAATGGAATCTTTCAGCAGGGCTGAAAATCTGCATATATTATTGCCTGCTGCCAGGCAGTCAAAGGCAGTTCCCCCAACTTGAAATCTTCAACTGTTTACCAAACCTGACCTTTGATATGTATATCTGCTTTGCTATACTGAAAAATCCTAATATATAAAAACCCAGTGAACGAGTGACCAGTCCATCCCCCGGCCCTTAGGCTCCATTGATCAGGGGATGGCTAACGGGGGAACCAGGTCCCTCAGGCTCCAATGAATCCATGGCCACAACAACTGGTGAGTGGGTGGAAGGCAGACCGGTTGGTCTCATCCTTAGCCCACAGGGTCCCATTGATCAGGGGATGGCTAACAGGGAACTGGAGTGAGTGGCATGGTGGGGACTGGCAAGCAGCTGGAAAGCAGGCCTCTTGGTCCCTCCTCCCAGCCTTCAAACTCCAATCAATTGGTGGCAGATGTGGGTGGAACTGGAGACTGGCTTCCTTAGTAGTCTTGCAGGTACAATCTCCAGAGGACAGGCCAGGCACCAACAGATCAGTGTTGCCGCACAATCCTGATAATTCTGCCAGCCTCCTGAAACTCAGCCTCAGGCACTGTGGCCGCTTCCCTTCCCTAGATGCACCATAAGGAAGAAAGCATACTGCCAGCAGTGCTAGCGGTGACCAACAGTGACTGACTACTTTCCCCGTGCTTCCTCCAGGTCACTCAGCTGGCCCCCACCCTCGTCACTCCAGATGAAGTGTGATCACTGCACCAGAAGGAATATAGTAAAAAAACCAAAAACCAATGACTATGAGAATGCCGCAGTCAATGTCTGGAATCTGGCTCAGGAGAATGGAGAGAAGGGAGAATTCCATAAGTTGGCCGATGCCAAGATATTTCTAAGTGACCGTCTGGCATGTGACAGTTGTGTGACTGCAGAGGAAAGAGTCCAAGTTTCTCAACAAAACACCAAGGACTTCTTCCATGTTCTGAACCTTAAAAATAAATGTGATACCTCACAGCACAAGGTGCTGGCAGTGTCTATGTGTCCTTAGTCTCTGCCTTATTTTGCTGCTAAATTCAGCCTCAGTGTCGCTGATGCATCCAGAAGACTCCCCAGCTTTCTTAAAAGCCTTGGGGCAGCCAAAACTGGTTTGGCTCAGTGGATAAAGTGTCGGCCTGCGGACTGAAAGGTCCCAGGTTCAATTCTGGTCAAGGGCATGTACCTGGGTTGCCGGCACATCCCCAGTAGGGGGTATGCAAGAGGCAGCTGATCGACGTTTCTCTCTTGTCGATGTTTCTAACTCTCTATTCCTCTTTCTTCCTCTCTGTAAAAAATCAATAAAATATATTTAAAAATTTTTTAAAAAAAGCCTTGGGGCACACTGTCTTTGACATGAGATAGCTATAGACTTCAGCATCCTGGAGAGTCAGAAGGAATTTGTGCATCGGTACTGCCAGCACCGTGAGGAAGAGCCATGGTTACCCATGCTGACCTCTGCCTGCCCCAGCTGGGACCAATATGCAGAACATTTGCTGAGTTACCCCATCACTCCCACTTCTGCACAGATAAGTCTTCCCAGGTCATGGGCTCTCTGGTGAAGGATTACTTC